TTCGCGCCGACCGAGGCCACGAAACTCAACGCCGACAACAAGTCCGCCATCGAATTGTCCAAAGACAATGTTCTGCACGCACGCACCAAGCACATCGATATCCGCCATCACTTCATTCGCGAATGCATCGCCGCCGAGACCATACGACTCAAATACTGCCCCACTGACGTCAATTCGGCCGACTTGTTCACCAAGGCCCTCGCACGCGATCGTTTTCAATTTCTTCGGACGCAACTCGGTATCCTCCCAGTACAGAGTTGAGGGGGAGTGTTGGAATATTGCGGGCACGCTGTCTTTGTACCCTTTGTCACGCGCTTGACAGGCTGTCAAGCGCCTTCTCTATTATGCGGATCCTCTACTCTACGCTTTGCTAGTCTACATCATGTATATAAGCTACGGCTTCTTTTCCCTCGATCAATCATCCTTCCCTGCTTCTCAGCTTCTCTCTCTCGTGTGAACTCTAACATGTATACCATATGCCCCCAAGCATTCGTTTAGAAAGCACTTCAAGTGGGGAATGAAGAGTTCTGCTTGGGCGTCAGCTCACTAGAAGTTGTAATCGAATGTCACCTGGTCGCAAATGCGTCCTCCGCCTCGTGTTGCTCACAAAAAGACAGAGGATGTCGAATCAAGTCTGAGTTTGAGTGTCCCAGATTTCAAAGAGATGCATGAAGAAGGGAGCTGGGGCGGAAGGCTTGCGAAATCCCCAAATTTTGCGAAATTGCATGAGGGATAGTAATCTTATGCATCCGCACTCTGTTCAGTCTGAGAAACCAGATAATTCTGAGGAGGAAAACGACGCTCACGAAGTGCATAAGTAGGTAACACCGCGCCAGCGCGGGCGGGTCAGACGGGCAGAAGCCGTTGTGTTCAGGGTCTGAGACATGTCAAGACGCCAGCAGATCTGGCTGTGTGGGCACGTTGCTTCGCCACCAATGGTGCTTCAACTGCCATCAGTGCGCGCGTCCGACCCATGCCGGACCCCTGACTTGTTCTTGTAGCTGACGAGCTTTCGATGGTGCCTTGCATTTGCGCGCAGCATGCTTACCATTGCGAAAATCCTGGATGGACCAGTGCAAACACGATCTTGAGCCACAACGATCTCCTTCAAGACTTGGGATCCAGTGGCAATGCTTAAACCAAATGGAGAAGACCATCAGCAAGCACACCGTCTCCGGGCGCAGTATAGTAAGATGCCCGAAGGCAGGCGGTGCGCTTCAGATCTGAGAATTGAGAGTTTGGAGAGATGGAAGCGTACCCGGAAAAGTCCCACATATACACCTAGGCGCTACGCACAATGGTGCGCCCAGAGGACCAGGAAATGTGGATGCTGGGCGCAGTGCGCGCAAACATCACGTAGGACGCTCCCACATCCATGGGCGAGTTGGAAAGAACCGCACGAACGGAATCGCACAGGCGTATGTGTGAACGTGGTGGTAAGGAGGACCGGAGTGCTGTATGCGCGAACCGACGTGCTGCTGCGAGGCACTTGACAAATATAGTAATTGCGGCAATCGCCAAATTGACAGCCATGCTTAATTTCCAAGAAGCGGACCCAGCGGCGCCTCGGAACATTACCAACATGCAAAAGCCGCAAGCAGGACAAGCACTTTCCGTGCCTACACCCACTCGAATCTACGCTGTCCGTAATGGCCAACAGGCGATCGGGAAGGGCAAGAGGTATCGCCCTTCGGCGGCGGTGCGAGGCGGGCGAGAGAGCGGTGACCGAGAGGGCCGTTAGCGCTTGCGGTTGCACCGGTTGGGATCATGTTTGATATCCCTGCCAGAACGTTGCAACCGGGGCGGCCAGCACACAGCACCTTCAAATGATATAAATAAATCTCTCGCAGGCACGTCCTTCTCCCTCAGTCTTGTCCGCCTCAGTCACTCACTTCAAGACATGTTTTCCAGTTTCCGCGGTCTCCGCGCACTTTTGGTTCTCGCTTCAGTATGTTCTCCAGTCTTTTCACTTCCGACGACGACGCCCGCCGGCCTCTCCGCTCGCGCTCTCTCCAAGCGCAACATCGGTGATTATATCGACAACCTAATTTATCTCGACGCGAATAAGACGAACATCTACACGGCGATCTCCATTAACCAGGAGACGTACGCGGCGCTCCTCGATAACAAGTGGTGAGTGTTCGTGCTGCGATGGCATAGGGGATGGTACTTCACTGCAGAGCAGGGGTGGTCTTGTAGTGTATGGCGACAAGTACTCGGGCTCCAGCTCGTCCCAGCACTCGATCGAAATCGACCAGCTTTCTATCCAAGGTGCGTGAATACAATGCTCATGTCTCTATCCTAGGTGCAGTGTTCATGCTTTGTATAGTTGAGGATGGTCGTGAGACTATAGGCATCTTGGAGGAGGACGTCACTCTCGAGTACTGTGAGTTTCATATCTATGAAATACCTTTCAGGCGTGTTCTAAGAGCCATATGCTGCAGTCCACGCTCCTCAGTGGCCGAGCGAACTCCCTCACATTTCATACAACAACGTCGGCTACGCGTACTGGGGTATCGACATCAACAACCCTATGTCGCCCATCTACTCCTACTTCGATGCCAAATGGCCCTCAGACTACTCGAAGTGGTACTACGACATGGTCATCTTCTACGACTGGCTGAACCCCTCCAACACGGTCGAGATCGACTTCGCCGGTATCATCGTTGCCGGCCAGACTGTCGACTGGACTACCGTTCTCGACATTACCGAGCAGCAGGTGCAGTCTTACGGTCTCCCTAAGCTTGATGGCATCAACTCCCAGAAAGAGATATGGCTCAACGGCGACGGCACCTTCTACCTCGACAACACTGTCTGGGTCAACGGCCAGCAGGTCACCGTCACGACTGAGGTGGAGAAGACGCCTTCGGGCAAGTACGTCGGTGACATCTACACCAGGATCAGGTGGACCACGTACCCCGACGACATCGTCAAGGTACTCTACGGCGGTATCTCGGGTGCGAAGTACTACCCCGAGGGTGCGTACGGCTACTACCAGATCCCTTGCGACGCCAAGGTCTCGTTCTCGTTTTCTATCGATGGCTACAAGTACGATGTTGCGGAGGACGCGCTCGTTGCGATCAACCCGTGGGGCGACCAGTGCATTGGCTCGATCTTCACTCCCGGCCAGGCCGTCTCTGCCGCGCCCGAGTGGGACGTGAGGATCGGCTTCCAGCTGTGTATGTTTTCAGATTCTACGTGCCCGAGTGTGTTTCGCTGACCTTGTTTGTGATCCAGTGAGCTCGTTCTATCTCCGCGCTGGTATCTACCAAAGCTCGAACAAGCCCTACTACAAGCTCCTCCCTCTCCCCACTCCGACCTGGGAAGGCTACACTTCCTACGGCTACCAGGGCTCGGGTGGATACACTTCCGGCTCCAACACTGGCTACACCTCGGCATCTGTAAGCTGTTGTACTATCCCTACTATTACTCTGTAGCTAACAGATCTCCCTTCTTGAAGGGAGCGTACGCCACCGGTTCGGGCACGATGTACTCTTCCCCATCCTCGTACAACACCTACAACACCGGTTCCGGTTCATACAACACCTACAATACTGGTACGTTGTACTCGAGCCAGTCGACGTACAGCACGTACAGCACTCCCACGTCCTCGTACAACAACGGGTACAGCACCTCGACATACACTACCTCGACCCCGACGTCGTATAACAATGGCTACAGCAGCGCATCCAGCTACAACGGTGGCAGCGGCTACAGCAGCGCCCCTGGCAACTACTACACCGACTCGCAGGGCTATACCTACACCGTCGCCAGCACCAGCGCGTCGGGCTCGGGCTACTACTACTACACCAACTCCCAAGGCTACACCTACACCGTCGCCTCCGACTACTCCTACGGCACGCCCGCCGCTAAGCTCGCCGGCGACCTCGCCGCGACCGACGGCAGCAGCGACAGCGACGCGAGCTCGTGGAAGAGCAAGGCGCACCTATATGAGATCATCATCATCGTCCTCGCGGCCGTGCTTGGGGTCGGCATCATCGGAGCCATCATCGCGTGTGCCCTTGGCCGTCGCAAGGAGAAGGCAGGCCCGTCCGCGTACCGCTCTCTGCACGAGGCCGAGACAAGCGGCACCCACGCCCCGCTTTACGGCGCCGAGGGCGGCCAGTCGCGCTACGCCGATCCTTACCAGGACAAGGAGTGAGTGGTCCGGGTTCGAACATGATCTCATTGTTTCGTCTCTGTAGCTAGGGTAGGTTACTGGGTCGTTCCGCGCCTGTGGGGCTGACGGGCTCGTCTGTCGTCGTTTTCCTTTGCTTGCTTTCCACTTCTCTCTTCTCACGATCATGGACTTTATTCATTCATGCTCTGGCCTATATCGATATATCGCTACTGCTCTCCCTCACTGTCGTTGCAGCATAAGTATCTAGTATATACGTCCTACTACCGGAGGACACTGTTTCGTGAAGTTAGCTAATCCTATTGCGACTGAGTGCGCGCACAAGGTTGAATGCTGATCCGACCATCATTTCTGTTGCACTACGGCATGGGTTCGCCTTGTAGCAGCAAAGCCAAAAGGTACGGTGTCACTACTTTGTTCGCCGCGGCCCCATCGGCAAGAGCGTAGGACAAGAGCCGACTACCGTGGACCGGAACGGGATATTCGCGAATCTACGTCTACCCATCATAGATCGCATTCAACACAAGACCCCTCGACCAGCGAGTAGACTCATCCTTCTTGAAAACTGGGGGAGCTATTCTCGGAAACAGCCGCCTGAGGGCCCCGACGAATCGAGGGATGAGCCTGGAGTTAGTTCTTCAACTCCCAGTCTTCCGGGTCCTCAAACCCAACGCCGTCGATCATCAGCCTCTCTAAAGCTCGCGCAGGGATAGGAGGGGACCTCTCGACCTCGTCCAGCGCAATTTGGGCGATCAGGACTGCTGGAGGCTTCGGAGGCGTGGACAGCCGCGGGCGAACCGCACGAGGCAGTCGAGCCCGCATTGATCCCGAGCGCCATCGTCGGGATACCGTCCCGAAGCGGCGAGTTCGAACGCCTTGAGGTCAGGCCACGCCTGAGCAACCGCAAGGAGGAGGGTAGGCATGCAGCAAGACGACGTTATGCCGGTTAGGTCGACTCGGAGGGTGCGTAGAGCGGTCAGCGACAAGAGCGGCAAAAGTAGGTCCTTGAGCGTGACTTGTAAGGCGGACGGGTGGGAGGGCCCTAATGCGACGTCAGGCACATACACCGCACGGAGCGCCTCCAAATTCCTGTGGTCGGACGTTATGGCAAGGACGAGCTGCAGCAGTTCTGCGGTCACGTCGCGCGGCTGGCGCATACGACGATACTCCCACGAGGGCACGATCCGGAGAAGGAGCGATGTGTGTATGCTTCAGTAAGGATGTGAGGCTGCCGGCTGTCCCGCTCAGCGCGAGTCAGCGGAGGGAGGAGAAAGTGATGGCGAGTTGTACACTACTCGTCATCTTGAGGGCAATATCGAGACCCTCCAGGGCGAGAAGCTGGGCAAGGATCTGCAGGTCGGAACTGCCAGCGGTGACTCCATCGACCGTGACATGTCGTGCTCGCGAGTAACCATACTGCAGAGAGGTCTCGAAGTATGAGGGCTTATTACCGTGACGGTCTTGATCTTTTCGATGTTCGGGGCTTCCTCTGCGATAGAAATGGGCAGACTCCCGATGGCCGTGGCATTCTCAGAGTCGGGATTTCCGGCTAGAGATAGGAGATCCACCCTGAGCTTGATGTCAAGGGTGAGCTCGCGCACAGACGGAGATATTAACTGGAGACATCCAACGTTGTATGGTGGTAACCCGTCCGGGCGATCTCTGACTCTCACCGACGACAGGGCGGGCAATATGGGAGTGTCCCCAATGAGGGGACAAATTTCAGCCCAGAGTCCGAGCCAGGTGGGCCCGTGCAGAGGGAAGAGGGTGATTCCGCACACAAACGACGCGTATTCCCCGAATAGTTTCCATGAGGGGTTATGAAGAGGGCCATCGGGATGTGACCACACCTATGCCATGTAGGATTCAGAGAGTTACAAACGTTGACAGTAGACCAGTTCAGGGCTGGCAGAGCGAGGCTTACCAGGATCTCCCGATACTCTGGGTTCTGTGTCCCATCATTTCCCTCCACCGCTCCGCCAATCTTCTCCGTTGTCGCGATCCCCAGGGTGTAGAGTAGGTCGACCAGAGGCCGATCTTCAGGGAGGCGTTTCCATAACGTCTTAAGCGCTGGACGCCTGAAGCTTGTGCAGACCCTGGCGGTCTGGGCTAGAGTTCTGCGGAGCGAAGGCCATTCGCCTTCATGCCACAGTTCGGGCTCCAGGTTCGCGATTGTTTGGTAACATACGTCTTCGACGGCGAAGATTGAGGGTAGCGCCGTCATTGAGGTGATCGTCTATGTCAAAGTGAATGCAATCCTGTAACGACTAGCTGAAAATGGAACGTGCGGGAATTGCACCACGCACAACCGTTGGACTACCCGTCCCACTTTCCCAGCCCGCTACAGCCACTAAGCACCGTTACCTCGGGTGACTAAGCCGGGTACTGCCGTACTTCTCTATGACGGTGCGTCATCCGTGACGCCACAACGCGATGCGACGCAGGCGCCTGATCCAACCTGCCTTGTATGGTAATTGTTTCTGAAACGCTATCATATTATCGCCATACCAATGTGCGCTCTCCTTGTTTTTCGGTGCGAGAGATCAAATCCCACTCAAACTTGTTAGGGTTCGGGTTCGGAGTTAGGGTTTGAGTTTGGGTTAGTGGTTACATCAGGAAAAAACCAGTGTGCTACAGAGCGCCAAGTAGCCTATATAGTTCTGGTAGGCGCGTAGCATACCTCCGGGGTACATCACCTACATAGCGCCTGCCCACAGCTCCGTAGTTCCATGTAGATACACCATAGCTCATGTATTCTCACCGTTGCTCACTCGTGCATCCCAGTATTGCACACTGGGAACTACAATAAAGATGTACTGTACAACACAACATATATATTGACGTTCAGGGCCTGATAAATACAATTGTGGTAAACTATGGAACTGTATACTACAATAGACACTTTCCTACACCTATCTTGGGTTTCATCCACCCATATAGAGCATTAAAAGTAGCTACATATTTTTAGAGCGGAGAGTGAATATGTTACGCTGAAGTACTAACACAAGTCTGTCCAGACTTATCACACGGACTTATCCAAGTACACGGTGTTGAACCCGGGGGGGCGAAAGCCTCTCCCACGGGTGGCAACAACAGCAGATAGCCTGCAACTCACCTAGAAGGGTTGGTTGATTGTAAAAGGCTTGTAAGAGCGATGAGAGGAGACGTTTGAGTGAACTGAACTGTAGATTGGGGGTACAGAGGTCCCCTATATATACTACTGTACATCTGTGGCTACGTAGTACTATACAGTACCTTCCCAGGATGCACAGTCACACAGAGAAGCAGTGCGTACACAGCAAAGCTGTGTGTGTACCACATGAGTAGTACAGCCTCAGTTATTGCAGTAACCGGCTGTGCCGTTCCATATCTTGTGACGGCTGTGTTAGGCAAGCTGTGTAAACCAGCGCCTGTTCAACACTTCCCCTCGCTAAGTATCTGAATGGTCACGCAAGCGTAGCAGGCGCTTTAAGCAGCTCTGGACTTTGGGAAGCGGAGACCAAGTTGTGGGCGAAATTTCATGAACTTCACTACACCAAGGTTCTTGGTAAAGATGTCCGCAGGATTGTCGTTTCCGTCTATATAGAAGACATCAACGATTCCTTTATCATGTACCTCACGGATATAGTGATATCGGATGTCAATGTGCTTTGACCTTGACTCCGTCACAGGATTCGATGCAATGAAGATCGATCCTTGATTGTCTCCGGATAGAGGTATGTGATCGACATGGTAGTCAAGTTCAGCAAGTAGATTGCGAACCCAGACCACTTGGCGACTGCAGTCGCTCATTGCCATGTACTCAGCTTCCGTAGAAGAAAGAGC